CGGCCCTTGAAAAGAAGAAAACCTTTAAATAACCATATAAATATGATCATTGCCACCATGAGCTGTGTGTATTGGTAGTGTTTTCTATTTTTCTCTTCTTGTTTTTTTTTTTACGCTCGTACGAAGTCCGCGTGCGAGCGTTATAAAACTAATACAAATTTCATGACCGCAATTCCGGACCGTTTCCATCCAATCACTATTGTCGGTCGCCCGTTTCCTGGTAGATATCGATTTTCGCAGATACCGAACATATCTATTTTCCATCGTACAACAGCGGTGGTACATATAATATTATGTACTCTGTGTAGACTGTTTAATATAAAAAACGCTACAACAGTCTACAGATATTATTATTTCGTTTCCGGTTAGTCCCGCACACTCGATAAACCTTGCTTTATCGTAGAAATAAAAAAGTTTTGGCGCAAAAAGCCAGTCTTATTGTAGGATAAAATTGATGAGGAAATATACTACAGAGGCTTATTTTCTTTATATTATTTCCAAAGAGTTATCAGAAAAAGAGTTGATGAGTATTGTTACTTAACAATATGTAATATATTAGTTATTGTTTTCTAGAAAATTACAAAAATAATTTTGTTAAATGAATTCACTACAATTTAAAAACATAATCACTTTTTTTGCTATTTAAAAATGCTATATTAACTATTAATTGTTGAAATTAATTTCTTTTATAGTTCTAGTTTCAATAGAATTAATTAAGCACAATAGATAAAATATTATAGAAGGTATTAAAATATTGAAAAGCCACCCCTTTCTATCTTCGGCAATTATTCGAATTTGTTTTCTTATTTAAATATATGTTATTAAAAGTTTTTGCTGAATGTCAACATTTCTCTGCAACACCAATATATATTATAATACATAGTTCTCCAAACGAAAAGTTCTTAAGTACTAATGTAGGGTCTTGTCAGTTGTTCCCGATTCAGTAATTTTTCTTTACACATGCAAACTCTTTTAATTACATGAGAAGGCTGTTTTTGGAAGAAGAAGAAGTTTTGCTTAAAAACGAGTAAAATTATGGCGGCTTCTTCATATTTTTACAATATTGTACGTATAGCAGTGAACAACAATAATAAGGTTAAGAAGAGGAAAAGTTTTGAGGAGACTTCTGTATAATGCTATACAACACACACACTCATAGACTGGCACGCACGTACACATACACATTCACACACTGGAAGCGTTAAATGTTCGGAATTCGACGTGCTTCCGAGAAATCCGGGGAACAAAACGAGTTGATCAAGATGAATGGTTGGACCCATCTCGAAGCGACGCCGCAAAAAATATTCATTATGCATTGTACGCCACCATACACTTATATATAGAAGAGAAAGCCATTTTATTAATAACGATCGAAACCGTCGAGGATGTATAATGTATATTATATAATATAACGTGTAGGTATACCTAAATCTATACATACAAATAATACAAACTATGTAATATTATATATTATGGTCAGCAGTGAATCTATCTATGCGTATTAAAAATTGATGACTGCTTTAATTGTTGAGTCTGATATATCAACGCCATGCATATACTATACAATTCATATTATTTGCGTTTCGACCCACATTAATATTTAATATACATCATACCAGAAAAGGTAAAACAAAAAATAACAATTGACGAGTGAAATTGCTTATATATATTGCGAAGTGATAGATTTTCGAACTATGTTAGATACTACCATGCTAAATCTGTACAACACAGTTTGAACGCCTCAATAATGTTTGTTATATTTGTACGTGACAGCATTAGATTTAGGTGTAGGCAACGGGAACATGCTGTTGATGTACTGACTACAGAGTCACCAACCAGTTTCTCGATCAATAGAGTATAAATATGTAATATAAAATAAAAGTAGTGGTATTATGATGATATGATTTAAACACCCGGGGCATAGATTTTTTCATTGCTAAAGTGGTTCACTCTCTAAAATGTTGGGAGCACATTGTATGATTACCTATAATATGCATATATATATATATATATATATATATTTACATCAGTACAACTCGACAGTCGTCTGCACTACTCTACAGCACCACATACCTGTGTACAGTGTGTACGAAAATATTGTAATAATAACAGAGCTCTGCTCTGCAGCAAGCACAATATATCGCAATAATCATTGTGTCTACGCACTAGTGATGAAACAGTACGAAAAGAAATTTATGTTCAGTATATACATATTTTGCGACACGGACATAAAAAACCTATTTTATATTGTTTCAGTGGTACGTTAGAAACGCAAAATTGAGTCTTTTCGAAAAAAAAATTATTATTCGATCCCCTTAGCTGAATTGTTTAACAAGCTATTGAACTCGTATTTTTGTACGCCACGGGGACGAACGAATGACAATCGTAATAGATATAATTGGTAACTGAATTCCCGGGTATACGGCCATTATTGTAACGTAAGATGCACTGGCCGCGCCGAGGGAATGATAATTCAAACGTAATTGTCACCCGAAGGGCAAAAGTTTCGTCGCCAGACGAAGAGGGGTCTAAAAAAAGGGTCGAATTCGACACACGTATGTTCGCACTGTAGTCATTTTCCGTCTGAAACTTTTATTCTACGACGCGGTGGATGCTACAGTTATTACGCGATTTAAAATTACGCTGATAAAAAAAAAACCCACGGAAAACAAATTGTATATATACATTATTTTTTTTGTTTAGTGCAACATAGGTTTTCAGTAGTACTAACCACCTAACTACAAAGAGGGAAAAAGAGAAAAGAAAACCTTTTATCGTTTTTGTACTGTAGAAGATACCTCACCGATCTTTAACGAACATCCGCTTGTCAATTACGATCAGTTAACAACTCAAACTCGCAGAATATACGTATAACAAATAACGAACCATAGAGAAAAGGGTTTAGACGTGAAAAGTGAACGATGTATAAATCATTAATCATTTTGTCGTTTTCGTCTTCGACGCTTTTCTCGGCGCGGATGGTTACGAAGTTTAAAACTCGGAGGTACGAACTACAATAAATTGCTCTTGCAAAGCCAAATTATATTGACAAAGCAAGATGCGTAGCTTAACGGTAAACCTAAATATTTAATATTTATCATATTGTGAATCTGAGATTAAAAATGTCTATCTATGAGACGGGAGAGATAATATGATACGAAAACCACCTAATAGATTGAATTATGACATTCTGCAAAAAAAAAGCAACGTGTTCAATATTGATATAAACTATATCATATTAATAGATAAACGAAATTAAAAAGTTAGGTTTTAAATTATTTGTAAATGTATCAAGTGTTTTATCGGAACGTTCAAATTAAAATGTATGATATTATTTAAAATACGTAAAAACGAAACTGACTTGTCGAAAAAGTGAATAATGTATCAATTACTTTAGATTTTAATAAAATATATCTCCATTGATTTGAGCTCAAATGACAAATGACAGTATCTTCATGTCAATTCATTTTACTTACTGAAAAGGCAAAATAAATTTAAATTCTATGGTGATGCTGTGCACGAACAACACAAATGCATAATGCACTTAATAATGAATATATTATACTTAAATACTTGCGAATTATAAATTATGTAATTAAAATGTATAAATTGTAACTAAAATAATCTTTATATTCATCTTGAAACAAATGTACATTTATATATATATATTACCATATACCACACATCGCTTCAAAAAAATTATAATAACAATTTATTGTTAAAGGGACTGCGTATTGCGTCTTTTTGTTTTGGCAGTAATGTAGATTGACCTCTGTGACAGAAATAACTGTAAGCTATAAAGACGACTAGGGAATATTTGGCATGGATAAAAAGAATATGAATAATTTCATAGTGTACTTTCATTGATATTTTTCTACTTATATTACACGCTAGTTTATTACTCCGCATCAATGTACATCGTATGTATAAAAAATTACTTAAGAGTTTAATCTTGGAGTACATCTATCTCGTAAACTATATATAACATAATGAAAGTGAATAATGACCATTAGACTTAAATAATATCAAGTACAAAAGTTTTATGTTTTTTTCACTTCTATATTTTAAGTGGATGTAAAATTAATAAGACTTACTTATATACATTATAGTTCTATAAACATATTATTTCATGTTTCAACATATTATATTATTAATTATATTATATCATCTACACAATTACTTTAATTTAATTTAACACTCAAACAGTCTTAAACAGTTTTTAAGTATATATAATCGGTTATCGCGTTAAAACTTAAAAATATGTTATCCAACGACTGTGGCAAACAACACACGCGCATGTTAAGTCGTATCGTAATTATTTTGTGGGTAACGGAATCTGTCAACACGGGATTATGAATGAACGAAAAGGGTATAATAGCAGTATATACCATCATCATTAGTATATAATAAGCAATATATACATATGTATTTTTTATACGTTATACTATACCTACTAGTTAGTATAAACGAAACGAGTTTTTATTTACTTTTTTTCACAACTTTGGTTAGGAAGCAACTACCGAGTGGTGAAGAACAAGGGGAAGAGGGCGTTGTTTTGGGTATAAAAAACCAAAACTGTTTTTTCCTTAATTTGTTTTCCCCTGGCCATTACGTACTCGCGCGTATACGAAAATAAAACATTGCTTCCGCCGTTTAAATCCGAAATCCATGCCAACTGTTGTGCGTTTGGGGTCGAATTCCGCTCGGTGCCTTTAACTGGTTTTTATAGTGGTAAATATTAATGTGCGAGCGTATATGCACCCGCATTAAGGAGACATATGGTGAAAGGATTGGTATGGTGTCGTCTAAATTTACAGGTGACGCGCGGAGAGAAGGGTTGAGAAGGACGCACGTATACAACGAAGAAAAAAAACCAGCGATGGAATTAATAGATGTCCTCCAGTATAAGATTAATACAAGTCCCCCGGGGAAGTCTATATAGGGATAGGAATATTTCTACTGCAGTTATAAAAACAGTGAACCAAAAATAAACGTCTTACCTGTTCGTCCATGTTATGTCGGACAGTATTGAACGTCTCCGACATTCATAGTCATATTGTACGTTACAATGAATGACGCGCGTATATATTATTATACGTCTGTAGCGTGATTCTCAACAGTGGATAACGCCTGAAAAACAAATTTTTATTAATGCCAAAAGAATAATAATAAATAAATATCAGTTTATGAATAACACATGATAATATATTATGTGTTAAATACACCTAATAATATTGTTTTTTTTTTTTTTTTTATAGGATAATCAATTTTTAATTAAAATATATATATATATAATTTAAGTTTATATTATAATATTCAGAATTTTAGACTTTATTATTGTTATTTATTATATTAAATACAAATAAACATGAAATTTTTATTTTACCAGAATGTTAATAATAATTAATATGCCTGCTCTTAAAATATTTTATTCGTAGTGCTCGTGCAGTTGAAGCACTTCTCCGAGAGATTAAAATTATAAAAAGAACTCAACCAACATCACATAACTTTTAAATTCCGATTATCGTAGGATTGAGATAAAAGTTTAAATTGAAAATTATTAATTCTTTAAAAACCGATAAATTTTAACTAGCTAAATTTGAAGTACCTCTATAATAGTTTTTAATATGTCCCATAAAGTATGAGTAATTAAAAAAGTTGTATTTTCCATTTAATGAAATTACAGTACTTAAACAATTTTATATTTTGCATTATTTTACAATATTTATATAACTATTTACTCTACACACTTATATGTATAAACTGGAAAAAAACTACAAATATAAATCAAAAAATAATTTTAAGTGAATTATTCAAACTACTTATATACTATATATGCAATAATGTAATGTGTATACGTATATATATATATATATATAATATATATACAGACTTTTTTTTGACATACTTAATACTTCAGTTCAAAACACTAAATTATTTAGTTAAATAGGTTTTCTGATTTTTTAGTTAAATTTAATTTGTATTCTTATTTGGTAAGTATAAAACTGAATATTACTTTAGTCATCACTAAAAAAGGTCTATCAAATAACATAATTTATACTTTATTAATCATAAACGTCTTTAAATTAAGTACATCACAAGTTATTAAAATAAAAACATAATATATAAGTCGATTAAATCACTATACTATAATATATTGTTATTATAACAGCAGATACTGAATTCGAAATAAACAATTGCCTACGCATTAGTGAAATGGTGAAGAAATAGGGTGGCGTGGGTGGTTATAACGCCGAACAACTAATAATTATATCATAATGCATTTTTATGGATGTCTTGTAATTAAAATTAAATGAAATAAATAATAACTGAAATAACTTCTGAAGTTAAATTACACATTACGTAGGAAGCAAAAATGCGCACGCAGATGTATAATATTTTTTAGATAAAATATATTCAATAATAATTTATTTTATTACATAATTTATACAGATACACTATATTCAATTAATCAATTATTGAATTAAAAATGCAACATGAGTATCATTTAAAAAACACTATTAACATTTCTATATTAATTAAGTATAATTATACGATATCACAATATAGACATAATTGAAAACTTAAAAATACAAGTGAAAATAACATTATGTATATTTCTCGAAAATTTATAAAAATCGAGCAAAAATTATATTCATCATTAAGATGTATTGAAAAATTAGTTAAGATATAATTTAAAAAGCGAATGGAATTTGGTCTGCATATAAACGCGATAAAAATTTAAAAATGCGATCAAAAATATAATTTAAATATAAATTAAAGAATTATATTATATATACATTGGTATACCCGGACAAGTGAATATTTTTATAGTTAATAAGTCCATTTTGAAAAATAAAACTTTACATCAAAATACGCGTTATGGCTTATTATTAAAAATATTTCAAATGATTTCGATATTATAGATATACACTACGAATTTGATCTCGTTAATCCTGAATAAATATAATATAATCCCGGCTTAGTAAATAATATCTATTCCAATACACACACATTATACTGTGCAGCGGTATATAGGTTACCCAACGACGTAATACGACGCGTCGTGTTCAGATAATAATAACATGAATATATTATTATAACATATGTGGTAGTTTTATTAAAATTCAATAATTTCGACGATATAATGGGTTTGATTAAAACGTAAGTAAGAGGAAAAAACGTGTCATCTGTCTAGAACAATCGCATACATTAAATTATAAGATCCCATGTACGAGTTTTATTAGAGGAAGATGGATATATGATAATGGAGATGATGCAAACACAGATAATAATATGAAAGTGTCCTAACCTGGCCGAGCCGCTTGTCTATAATAGGTATCTACTTATAATATAACTTGCTCTTTGGCCGTGATGTACGACAAGGAGGTGTAAATCACGATTTGACGATAAAAATCAACGGAAATTAATAATCGATTTTTCCCAATCTAAAATGACTACTGAAAAAAACAACAATTATCGCAACAGAGTGGATCCTTGCGATTCGCATTTAGATTTGTATAGACAAATGATAGGTACTGCCGTAAAGTTGTATAATTATTATGATGTATATAATAAAATTGTATAACACATTACACGCGTTGGGAATTAAATAGTTGAAAAATAAAATAAGACCACGAGCCCATATTATAATAATAATAAGTAATAACACGATAATAATAATAATAATAAATATAATATGTAATACCTGTTGTATGGATATATTATAATATGAATATGAATGTTGCCACGAAAATAACAACTCGTTAAATTTATTGCGTTTCGCGTGTAATGTATACCTTTCCATGTTATAACGAGGAACGCATAATAATACAATATTGCAGAAGATTATTGTATTATTATAGTGGTCGTTGTACAAGATGATCTAGTCGTTACTCGTTAGTCGAATGGGGCTCATTAAAAGTAAGAACAAAAATATATATATATATAATAATCGGCGTTACATGTATATTATAATATATTCATATTAATATGTTGCACCGCACGCGTGTAGTATAAATATGATATATCTACGATATATTATTTTCGATAAAAATTAATAAATAAAAACTATATACACACCTATCGCTTGATTATGACGTTATGCATTATTCCATAGAATACTAAATTATCCTTATTTATCGTATCGTAAATTATATATATTTATGAACCATAGTTATATCACATTATATAGATGTTATAAAGTATTATGATAAAAGGCGTATAGTATGTTTTAATACTTATACTAAAAATAATAAGCAATAATACGTTTGTATAAATAAATAACTGCGAAACCCACACGCGTACTCCCGATTGCGGGGACGAATGTTGCAGCGACGGATGCTGCAACCCAAGACAGCGGAGACTAATGGCTCAATCCACACGCATTGTAAATCAATTAACTCGTGTTCGACGTTTATATATTCTACAAGAGTAGTTTTTGTACATATTTTTCTCGCGATTATTATTCTCCCGTTCAAGAATTCCGCATATACACACACACAACATATATATATATACACGTCTAAATCGCTGTACGGATACTGTGCGTATCTATTATGTACATATTATATACATACAATACAATTAATATACGTTGTGAGCATTCACTACATTTCTGCAGTTCATTATTATTATTATTATTATTACACTATTATTATATCAATGTAGCAGATGTTCCTCGTCCCGCGATTCAAATAACAACGGTCACTGTCTACGGCCAAGTTAACAGAAAAAAAAATAGTTTTAATATTATATCGGTATAATATATATATTTATATATATACTTATACACGGTAACGATATATAAATGTTACATAGCCGTCGCCGTACCATGTTATTAAAAATGCATCACAACCGCAGAATATAATATATTAAACACACACAGACATAATTTATATACGCCTATATATATTTTACACACATAAGCTCACACATAAACATACGTATTATATACCAAGTTTCAAAATTGTATGGACGTATTTTACTTGATTTTCACCTAACATGAAACGATAAATATGTAATTTGTACTATACTGTTTAGATATTATTGTATGATTACGCTGACTCGAGAACAACGACGTTTATGTTACCTATATGCGATATAAACAAGGCGAAAACGGTGGCGTTTTATAAAGAAAGAAAAATAGATTTCGATATATAGACGTAAAGTCGCCGATCGACGGTTAGTGGATAATGACGACCGCTCACGAAAACTAGCAATCAACTTGCGGATCTCTCATAATTATGACAAGAAATGTAATTTTTTCATCTATATAAAGGTAAGTATACACTTGTTGCATATTTACACCATATATACTACGTATATAGCATAAGTGGGCAACTTGCAGCTTGCGAAACACATGTCGCTCTCGTCATTGTCAAATACAGCTAGCGTTTTATTTACAAAATCAAAATTTACTTAATATTATTATGAATTTTAATTTTTAGGTATTAGCTTAAAAAAAAATAATCAAATTATATAAAGATTTTGGCTCATGGTATCATTACATTTATCTATGTGATCCGCGAACCTATTCATGTTGGCCACCCCAAGTATATATAGTAATAATAATTATCCGCTACATCGGTAGACCATTGCAGAAGACAATAAAACACTATCCGGTGATAGTATACATTAAAAAGAAATTAATTTAATAAAATATATTATACTAAACTATTTTTTACAATGACTATATGGGAGAAAATAAATTGAAAACTATATGACAAGAGTTAAAAATTTTATTTTTACAAAGGGCAGCACGTATTATGTAAACAGGGAAGGCGCATGCAGTACAAGTCGTCCATTATAAAATAATGACTTCATTTCCACCTCCACTGCGGTCACAATTAAAAAACTAAAATACAAAACCACAAAACAATATGTCATTATGAAGTGTATAAATATATATATATATAGTATAATAGTGCAGTTTGTTTTAAACGACTTTATTTTCTACTCTCGATGATGCAGCAGCCAACAACAGCAGCCGCAGCAGCGACTTTTTTAAGTGGCCAACAACAATTTTTATTATTATTTTCTGTGAGGGAGGGGAGGGCGCAACTTGAAAAATAAACCAAGCTTTAACAAAACAAAACTCGAGTGGCTTTTGTCCAGCGGCGGCGATGGCC